AATGTAGACTGTTTTCTGTAACTAATTGCATGTAATATACTGTAAATGTGCTGCTTGTCTGAATTCCTTGTATTTCAGGGTATGTTTTGTACCACCATTATAAGTACTGTTAGAAATGTTGCGTTTTATTTTTTTATTTATTTGAAATAACTGTTGTGCCGTGCCATGTGGTTTACTTTGCTCCAGAGGCACCCCGGCTTCTTTTTCGTGACCCTGCAGAAAAGTGAATTAGCAAAATAGGCCCAGAAAAAAGAAAATGTCTACATAAATACGTCCTTCATGACCAAAATGTTAACACTATTGCCACTTGAAGATATGATTTATAAATAGAGGTGTTGTACATGATCAGTGAGAGACATGGGCTCATTTAATTTAATTTACATTGTGCTTTAAAACCTTTGTGAGTATGAGCTGAGGTCTGTGGTGTAAACAGATTGTTGACATTTGTATAAGATTTAATGCAATGTGAGATTGTTAAATGATTTTGTGGTCATTGATTGCTGGGATAATAAGGTTGGAAGCTTTTTTGTTTTGTTTTTGTCAACCAAAAATTGACAAAAACAAACAATGCCAGACTTCCACCTGAGCGCATTAAATCTAAAACCTTTACAGTCACACCAAATGATTTTACACTTACTGTCTAAAGGAAATGTGATTCATGTAACAAAATCTAAATTGCCGTATACTCAGGTTTCTGTACAAAACAATTTATTGTGGTCATTAGATCCATGAAAGGAGACCCTGTCTTTACTTCTATTGTACTAATCTGATGATAGATTATTTATATTGTGTCATTTGCTTCATAAGAAGAGGTATAATATGGCTTCTGTACAGCATCAATGAACACAAGTCACTCAGGTCTGCTGAGCGCTGCTCACGCTGAAGATTCATGGACTTTAATTTATTTATTTTGTAAAATATCAAATGTCTTTGAGTGTCAACTTGGACAGAAGCATTTCTTTGGTTTGAAACTTTATTTAGGGCTATGGGAGTTTATAATGTATTTGAGCCCCAAATCGCCAGCTCAGCATGTGTTTGAAGTGTGCTTGATGAAAATATTTGAAGTATATCAGTTATAACTTGCTCCATTATTTATTACAAATTGCAGGTTTATATTTTATTTTACTTTTTAAATACACATACCTACATGTGTATTTTTTCCCTACACTGTCTGAAAGCACACCTTGGGTTGCCTTATAATTTAAATGTTTGTCAAGGAGTTATTGATACATTGTGATGAGTAGAATGAGCTGCTTCAAATAAAGAAACAATTCTTTGACAACATGTTTTTACATTTGCACAAACACAAGGCTTCTGCGTATGGTTTGCACAGCTAGCCTAACCTTACCTAACACTGAGAAAACCTCACACTTCTGATGTGGTTTTAATTACCAAAAAAAAAAAAAAAAAAGACTCATGTCGATCATTTTGTTAGCAAAATGCATATAAATGCTACATGTGTTACATGCTGCGAAACTGATACTGTGTCCCGCGTTGTTGTGGCACCATGTTAAAGCAAGAACAGGTTCTTACATTAATTCAGAGTTTTACTTTATTCAAAAAGAATCAATATGATTCCCAATTCGAAGAAATCTTCAACAATAGATACTGTTATACGTTAACAGAGTAATCATTGCTGTGGTTTTGTGCCAACAGACACATCAGTGATGGAGCAGTAGTCCGCTGCAAGAGATGGGGTGGGGGAATAATAATCCCCAAACTCAATCTTCAATCTCAAGTACTAGATGTTTTTTTTTATGTTGACCTCTTGACATTGTTGTCAACACTTCAAGTTTTAGTCTATGTAGCTGATACAAAATACCCATGTAAGCTTAATTGAGCTTACTTGCTATTCAATAAAACTTTAAAAATACCAGTAATATAAGCATCAATATGGCAAGATTACCATTTTGTTCTTGGAGACGCACACCATTAAATGAAATCACCCACACTGCTTATAAAGAAATAGCTCTTCATCTGTCCTGACATGAAATGTCAGCTGAGGAAGCCTGGTACAGAGTGTCAAGCTTCATTCAGTGTGCCAAAATCTCAGTAGGTTTAACTTGCTGTGCCAGTGGCACAGTTGCAGTAAAATGTCCCTTAGAGACGGTCTTTAGGTCCTTCTTTCAGCCTCTTCTTCATCTCTATCGCATGCTGCTTGCTGCGCTCCCGCTTTTCCAGTCTCTGTTGAATAGTAAGGAGACAGAAATGAATGTAAGAAAGAAAAAAAATCTTTTAATAGGATTGATTGTTGTCCTATCCATAAGTGGAAAGAAATTTAAAAAGCTGACAGACCTCTTTCTTCAGACACTGACGCATGGCACGGTCCACATCGTTACATGTGCCAAAGAACTTCAGAATATTGTGCTGATCGTAAAAGCAAACAAGGTTTTACACAATTTTATATTTGTGCATGTGAAGCATAGAGAAATAGTCACATTTGGAGATTGACTTACCTCGTTGTGGCACTGTCTCAGTTGACTTATTAGTTCATTACACTCATCTGTGTGAAGGTGAGGTGACAGGTCAGGGTGCATTTTGAGTTAAGGGCTTACTGAAGAACTGCAGAGACACTGAAAGGCAACAAGCAAGAGATGAACTGAGGATATACTCTCATCTATAAACAACTTAAAATACTCAGCCCAAGGGGGGCACCTTGGAAGTAATATGATTTAAGACTAGTATACAATAACATATAGCAAGAAAGCAAAATATTGCCACATCTGGAACTGCTGATGCCCAACCAATAACAACTAATGAATCAATAATTAAATTCGTTATTTTAACTGTTTGAATGAATTATTCCACAGACTGCTTCAACTGCACTTTAAATACCGTATATCAGGGGTATCAAACATAAGGCATGGGGGCCAGAAGCATTCTGGGAAGCACTCAAATCTGCCCCACTGGATGGCAATGGAAAACAAGGAGTGCATAAACATCCTGTCAAGATCAAAGTGGGTTGTATGTGCCCCATGATGTAAAATTAGTTTCACATCCCTGTAGTACGTCAGCAGCATTTCCTCTAAAGGATACTAACACCTCCCCATCCCTCTCCATCCTGATGTGTCATAGTGATGACCGAGATTGTTTTTTCCAGTGGACACTTACCTGCAGACACAGAGGCAGAGACAAGAGCATTGTGTCAAATGTACACCATCTACATTTACTTTGGCATTATGTTAGCTAGACTAGACTTTGAACTGGGGATCTGTACTACGTATGTAGTAATTTATAATAAACTTCATGTCAACACTGGATTATCAGCTGAATTACACTTACCACTGCAAAGGCTTTATCATCTGAGAAGTTTCCAGTGGGTAAAAAAGGCACTGCTTGCTAACTACTAGCTCCAAGCTAACTTCACAGAAGATGAATCTATACAACCATTGAACAACTGCAGAAGCTTTATGGTCTGCTGCAAGTCACTAACGCCTTAATGAACTGGACTAAATGAGCTGTAGTAGTACTATCGCCGGTTTAACCTACAAGAAATTACAATCTAAAGGACGCGCCTGCCTGTTACAGGACGTGAAGCTTTCGTAACTGTTTCGCCTCAACGATTTGAGTGACAAGAGTCGAGGGCGAATCGTAGCCTATATTCTTCTTTGGCCTCACCAATGGCGTGCGTACTTCCCACAAAAGGCGGGACAAATGATGACGGGAGTTTGCAGGAAATACAAGAAGGCTCCTCTCCAAGCACCTCCGTTTTTGTGAATGGGTACGGTACTATTTGGTCACCTGTGCTACACATTTTTTTTCCGCCATTACTTACTATTTCTGTAATGCATGGAACCTTGTTTCCGTCACTAAGTTTTTTTTGTTTTTGATTTTTTTTTCTTAAGTCAGATGTTCATGTCATTATTTAACATGAATTAATTAATAACTCGAAATGTCAACGATGCTTAATTACCTACTTACGTTTCTTTTGTTGTTGTTTTTTGCTTGTTTGTGTGTGTGGCGTGTGTGTGGGGGGAGGGGGTGTATTTTGTGTGGTTTGTGTTTACGTAATTTGAACAATCTGAGTGATGGGTTTTACCGTTTTTCCTCTGACAATATTTCCTCTTTTTATTTATTTATTTAGTTATTTATTTTTGGTTGTTATTTTGTCCTTTTCATTTTGGAAGGTGCATGCATAAATGGGGAAAATTCACAACTAAATGGACTAAACTAAAAATGAATAAATAGTGTTCATACTCTGAGTAAACTACTCATTGGTCAAACCTAGCCTAACCTAACTAACCCCGGACCCTAATTTAGTTCGTAAGTCAAAATTTCCAAACCGTGACCTGAACTTTTGACTTAGAGATGACAAATTTTCTTCTATTTTTTTTTCAACAGTTTCTATAGCAGCAGTGTGAACTTTATGAACTTTTTGTATGTCATAATTAATTTCACTCAATGGCGGTCACTAATTTCTTTCAACATTTAACTCTTTATGTAAGGGTCTTATTAAGGTCATTATTATATACAGATTAGTTGGTCACGTCAGTAGCAGCGGCACTTAAAATTAATATGTAACTCCAAGACAGCAGAGGGCGCTAAAGGAAATACGTGAGTCCGTTTTGCAAATATCTGATTGGTGGATTCGTGTGCTTTTATTCTGGGCGGTTTGTTTGGAATCGATCGACTGTGGTGTGCGTTGTCGTGAAAGCTGAACAGATCGACAGTTTTACTCAAATTCAAGCTGTCTGTCTATTTCGGTCACTGTTGAAGGAAGCATGGACAACACTGTTAAACGTTTACTGGAGCGACTCGTAAGACGGATACCGAGTCGAATGCTGAAGACAACGCTGGATAAGTGGAGCCGTTTGACGGCGACGCAGCGGCAGTCCATAGATTACACAGAATCAAAATGGGCGTTAACAGAAAAACTACTTGCCATTTGCGAGGTATTTGGCTGGTTTTAGGCAATATAATTAGTTGTTATTTCTATGTGTTCATTGTACACTGTAAAAATGTTCACATTGAAACTACTATTAAATATTATGGTGTTTGCTCTATTAGTGTTTAACATAAGTGTTGTGTTTCACAGGAAAATGAATTGACAGTTAAACACATAGCTGAGCTGGAAATGATATGTAAGTCGAGCGAAGTTACTGTATTATATTATTACTATTACTATGTTATCATTTTGGCTTTTTGCTATATCAGTGGTAAGGACAGATTTACAGTTCACTAACAGTGCTTGTGTCGCCCTGGTTTCATACAGATGTCATCGAGAATCCCAACCTGGGCATGTGGCATGCCTTCCAGCTCATGGACCCTCAAGGTATGTTGAAACAGTAACCTGCTCTGTGTCGTCAAGGGCTGAAAGCCTATAAGTTTTGAACCTTCGTTGAATATCGAAGCTCTTGGGGTTTTCAGGGAATGTTCTGTCTTCCTCCCCTCACCCCAACCGGTCGCGGTAGATGGCTGCCCCTCCGTGAGCCTGGTTCTGACGGAGGTTTCTTCCTGTTAAACGGGAGTTTTTTCTTTCCCACTGTCACCAAAGCGATTGGTCATAGAGCGTCATGTGATTGTTGGAGTTTTCTCTCTTTTATTATTGTAGGGTCTACCTTACAATATAAAGCACCTTGAGGCAACTGTTTTTGTGATTTGGTGCTGTATAAATACAATTGAATTGAATGGAGGTTTTCTTTATTAAATTGCTGATGGCTTTAAGTGCCTTAATAATATTTTCATTTCTTGCTGTCTTTATAAATATCTTGATTTTTTTTTTTTTTTTTAGATGATGCTCACTCTGTAGAGCTGACACAGTTCAAGGAACAATTTAAATCCCACCTCAGTGAGCTAATAAGACACGTAAGCTATTCCATCTAATTTACACCCAAAAATCCTATTTTTAAATCGTTTCATCAGCAAATTACATTTCACATGCTTCTCTGTTAACCTCCTGCATTATCAGTCCGTTTTCACTTTATATTTGAAGGTTTCTATCAAGATAAAGAAGCACACAGATGAAGCTGTGTGGATTCGAATTGCATGGGGAGACACCTTTTCTCGCCCAAACCACCTGAAACCCACATATGTCGTTCACTATCTTCAAACCCCTTACGTCTTTCTGAGCAGCCTAACTTCAAAACAAAAGCCTCTGTTGTCACAGGTAAGGATGACTTCTGTGGTTAATACGTCACATTGTTTATCCAGTTTCCTTGTTTGTTTCCATCCTACTTTAAGAGACTTGTTTGCTTTGCAGGCTTTGGTTCTGTCCACCCGATATCAAGCTATTAAGGATGCTAACCTCAGTGGACGGAAGCTCACTGCCATCAGAGATCTGCTTATGAAGCAGTATCTGCAAGTATGCCTGATTTATTTTATTTTATTTTTTTAGAATTATTTACTAGTTAAGACTGACTTTATTTTTATTGTTTTCATTTCTTAGATTTTGTGGGCTGCATACAGTGTTTTCACCTTTTTAAATTACTGCTTTAGAGAGAAAAATGAGTGGAATTTTACTCTGACCTTTTTTTCCTTTTAAATCCACCTAGGTGTTTCCCACCAAGTTTCCCAGCCCTCTGGCAGAAAGGAATCGTGTTGTCTCAAGTATGTTTTAAAACTTTTTGATTTTCTTTAAGCTGTTTTCTCTATGCATTTCTGTCATATGGTGAAACATGTACTTACATTTTTAATGCTGGTTTTATGTATGTCTTTATTTATATGTACAGACCTTCACATAGAAAAAGAGCAAGCTGGGTCTGCAGCAAACAGACATCAAATGGCTTGTGAGGCATTTGGTGATGGGCTATTACCTCAACTACAGTCTGCAGTTTACAAGGTAGCCGGACAACACCGACTAAGTAAAATAAGTTGATTATCTAAGTTGTTTCACTGCTTCACAGATACAGATGTTAACCCAGATGCTGCCATGTTCCTTGTTAATGTTTCATCAGCTGGAAACAAAATTCAGAGATCACACCAATAAGACCATGACAGAGCGGGACGAGCCATTCAGATGTGTTGTTAAATTTGCAAGCACCAATCTCCTCGAGTCACTCAGACACTCTGCATCCTCAGGTACACAGAAAGTGTTAAAAACAGTCATAAGAGTAACTATCATCGTCTTTTGTAAGGAAGTAAGTTATGTTACTATAACCTGGTATGTCACAAAGTCATGTAGAATACTAACTGCATCTCTGCAAGTGTCCACAAGAGGGCACCAAAGTCCTGGAAGAAATAGCCATATAGTAATGCTGTTACATTAAGCTACTTCACAATATTCATGATACTTTGGGAAGAGGAAACTTTTCTAAGGAAGTTTGCTTTTATGTTTAATTGTTACGTCCCTGAATCCTCCTCACTTTGCAACTCTTTCCCACATTTTCCGGTGTGGGTGGAGACAATCAAAAAATACTGATAGTGACAGGTAATAGACAAATTCTCAGTTATGACGCAGGTTAAAACCTGATCCTCATTGTTGTCTTTCTGGTTTCTCTAATGGTTATTTAAACATTGTTTTTCTACTTTACAGGAGTTGCTTCCACCCCTGTGACACCCCTTCTCTCATCCGTTCCCTTAAAGGGAAAAAATTATTTTGTTATCACAGACAATGGCCCTGGACCTTCATCACAAATGAAGCCATCACAGAAATGACCATCAGACACTTGATTTAACTTGTAGCATGCTCAGTCCATTAGTCCATTCATTTTACTTCATACTTTAATGATGCCTTTGTTAATAAAACTCTCAGTCTGTTTCAATAAGAAATTTTTATTCTTGTATTTTTATATCTTCAGCTGTAGGTATACTAGTTGCTGGCAACTCTGTCACTTTATTGTTTGTCAGCATTGCATATAAAAGCAGAATTTTAAATATTCCTGAGGTTTTGTCATTTGTTTTCTGGTATTGATACAAATGTGTAATTTTACCACACATTAATATAAAGTGTTTTTCTGCGTAGCAATCAGATGAAACCAGCCCCTCACACCTCACATGCACGTTATTTCAAAGTGCATTTTTACTCTGTTTGTGTCTGTATACAAAACATTTAGACAAAAGCTTTAGTCTCAAGTTTATTGTAAACAATCCTTTCAAGCTTATTTAAAGCATCATTGGTCAAAGCAATTTTTTAGTCCTGTTAAAACGTGTCCATTTAAAAAAAAAGGGGGGGGCTTGTAAATATGTGATTTACACAAGTGAAAGGTGTAGTGGCAATTCCTTTACTTTTAAAAGTTCAAACGTCCCACAACTTAAAGTCCACAAGCCACTGCTGCATTCAGGTAATATTTCGTACGCAGGCAAAAGAAGTCCATTGTCCAAACATTTTAGTTGAGTTTTGGTTTATTTATCCATCTTGGCAAGCAATAACAAGATCCTTCCTGCTGCTTCTCCTGCTCTGGTAAAAAACCATAGGCCCACCCCAATGCATGCTGGTCCTATACCAGTCTCTTTATTTATAGAAACAAAATGGCCCTACAGCTCTTACTAACTAATTTAACAAAATAACAACAAACAAACAAATCATTTAAAACAAAATATTAACCGACAAATAAACCCCAAAATATAAGTAAACTAACAACAAACTTTAACTAACTTTCAAACAAAATAAAGAACAAATAGCTCCAACAAAAGGTGTGTATTAGTTA